CATACAACTGAATCAGCTGGTTGCACTTCCGATTTCATGGTCACACTTTAAATGAATATTCAGTACTGTCCTTACAAATCTGTTTCTCTAGTAAGTTTGAATTCATGGGATCTATTTTCCTACTCCTTTTTATCTCCTCAAATATCCCTCACTTCTTTTTACCTTATTATTCTGAGCTGACAACCTTATCTCTTGCTTCACTGAGAAAATAGAAATAATCCTGCAGGAATTCCCTCATCTTTCAACCACCAAATCTACATAAAATGTATCATCTTCCCGTCTTTCTCCTATTTCAGTAGAGGAAAGGTCTTTTTTGTCAGATCACTTATAATTGAGATCTCATCTATCTTGCCTTTTCAAGGACTGATCCTGAGCTTATTCTTTTTTTTTAATAACAGCTTTATTGAGATATAATTCACATACTATAAAATTCACTCATTTATAGTATATACTTCAGTGGTATTTATATATTCACAGAGTTGTACAGCCATCACCATAATCAATTTTAGAACATTTTCATCACCCTATTAACGGTCACTACTTTTTTTTTTCCTCCATCTCCCCAACCCCTGAAACAACTACTAATCTATTTTCTGTCTCTGTAGATTTGCCTATTCTGAACAGTTCCTATAAATCAATTTATGTAATATGTGTTGTGCTTGTTCTTGCTATACTGTGTCATCAGTCTCTCCCTCTCCACTGGATCATTCCTGTCAACCAAAAAGACATGTTCTAGTATCTGTCAGTTAAAACCACACTTAATCCCGTATTTCTTTCCTAGCTATATTCTCATTTCTCTGCTGTGTAATTCAGAATTAGATTTCACCGAAGAGTTGTTCACATAAGCTTCCAGTTCTTCATCTCCCATTCATAACCACCACCACCCACACACCCCATAAAAGTTTTTTGTGAGTTGTCATGTTTGTTTCCTAGGGCTACTGTAACAAATTACTGCAAACTGGGTGGCCTAGTACAATAGAAATTTATCCTTTCATGGTTCTGGAGGTTTGAAGTTCAAAATTAAGTTTTCTGCTATGAGTCAGAATCAACTCAATGGCAGTGGGTTTGGTTGTTTTTGTTTTGTTTTTTGTTTGCAGGACCATGCTCCCTCTGAAGGCTCTAAGGAAGAATCTTTCCTTGCCTCTTCCTAGCTTCTGGTTGTTGCCAGCAATCCTTGACGTTCTTTAGCTTTCTAGATGTATCACTCGTTTCTGCCTCCCACTTCACATGGCCATCTTCCCTTGGTGTGATCCAGTCATTGGATTTAGGGCCCGCTTAATGCAGTATGACTTTAATTAATTATAACTGTAAATACCCTATTTCCAAATAAGGTCACATTCACAGGTACTCGGGGGTTAGATTTCAATATATCATTTTGGTAAACACGTTGCAACTCCCAACAGTAGTTAAATATCTCCTGGAGTTCAAACTGGTTAGTGTAGTAAACAATGTTTGTTTTACAAATATACATTTCCTTTTTACACTTCTCAAGAAAAGCTTTTAGCCTTGAATTTGCCTCTGTTCCCTTACTGGTAAGCTAAGCCTACAGTTGACGTGTGCATTCCAAAGCTATATCCCCATTTACTTTTCAACCCACTCTTAAGTTGTTTTTTGCTCTGACTTTCAGTAATACCAACACTACTCTTCAAAAGGAGCCCAGGTGGGACAAGCAGTTTGCGATTGGCTGCTAACCTAAAGGCTGACGGTTTGAACCCACCCAGTAGCTTTGCAGAAGTAAAGGCCTGGCGATCAGCTTCCGTAAAGATTATAGCCAAGAAAACCCTGTGAAGCAGTTCTACTTACACATGGGATCGCCATGAGTCGGTTGCCGACTCAGTGGCTGCTAACAACTCTTTTCAAAGTCACCAGTGATCTCTATCTATTGACCTGTGTTTCTTTGACTCCTTATAATACACTTTTATGGGTTTCTTCCTTCCTACTGGCTACTTCTTAGTCATCTTAATTAGCAGTAAATACTTCCTTTACCCAGTTTTCAAATTTTGCTGTTTTTCAGGGCTCTGTCCCAGACCTTCTTTTCTGTCTTTAATCTATTTTCTTGACACTGAATTTTATATCTCCAACCCAGTCTACTTCTCTGTGCTCCACACTTACCAACAAATGATCTCCATATAGATGTCTCACAGACATCTCAAACTTAACATGTTGTCTTAGTTACTTAGTGCTGTGATAACAGAAATACCACAAGTGGGTTGCTTTAATGAACAGAAATTTACTTTCTCATACTTTAGGAGGCTAGAAGTCCAAATTCAGGTGCCCGCTTTAGGGGAAATCCTTGCCTCAGCTTTTCTAGCATTCTTCTCAGCATTTCTTGGAGATTTTCATGTGGCATCTATCTTTTCCCCCATTCATCTTTGCTTGCTTCAGTGCCTAATCTGCTCTTTTCTGTCTCAAAAGTGATTGGCTTAAGACACACCTTATACCATTATGGCCGCATTAACTTAAAACTCTATTCCCTAATGGACCACAACTACCACAGCCTCCACCGGGCTGAGTCCTAGATGGTGCCCGGCTATCACCAACAACTGCTCTGAAAGGGATCACAATAGAGGGTCCTGGACAGAGTGGGAGAAAAATGTAGTACAGAATTCAAATTCACAAAAAAAGACCACACTTACTGGTCTGCTAGAGACTGGAGATATGGCCCCCGGACACCCTCTTAACTGAAGTCACTCCTGAAGCTCACCCTTCAGCCAAAGATTAGACAGCCCTATAAAACAAAGAGGTCATTAAAAAGACAGGAAAGAAAAGACCAAAATGGATGTCAGAAGAGACTCTGAAACTTGCTTTTGAACGTTGAGTAGCTAAAGCAAAAGGAGGAAATGATGAAGTAAAAGACCTGAACAGAAGATTTCAAAGGGCGACTCAAGAAGACAGAGTAAAGTATTATAATGACAGGTGCAAAGAGCTGGAGATAGAAAACCAAAAGGAAGGAACATGCTCGGCATTCCTCAAGCTGAAAGAACTGAAGAAAAAATTCAAGCCTCGAGTTGCAGTACTGAAGGATTCTATGGGGAAAATATTAAACAATGCAGGAAGCATCAAAAGAAGATGGAGTCAATATACCAAAAAGAATTGGTTGACGTTCATCCATTTCAGGAGGTAGCATATGATCAGGACCCGATGGTACTGAAGGAAGGAGTCCAAGCTGCACTGAAGGCATTGGTGAAAAACAAGGCTGTAGGAATTGACAGAATATCAATTGAGATGTTTCAACAAACGGATGCAGCGCTGGAAGTGCCCACTTGCCTGTGCCAAGAAATTTGGAAGACAGCTACCTGGCCAGCCAACTGGAAGAGATCCATATTTATGCCTAGTCCCAAGAAAGGCGATCCAGCCGAATGTGGAAATTATCAAACAATATCATTAATATCATGTGCAAGTAAAATTTTGCTGAAGATCATTCAAAAAGGTTGCAGCAGTACATCAACAGGGAACTACCAGAAATTCAGGCTGGATTCAGAAGAGGACGTGGAACCAGGGATATCATTGCTGATGTTAGATGGATCCTGGCTGAAAGCAGAGAATACCAGAAAGATGTTTACCTGTGTTTTATCGACTATGCAAAGGCATTCAGTTGTGTGGATCATAACAAATTACGGATAACATTGGGAAGAATGGGAATTCCAGAACACTTAATTGTGCTCATGAGGAACCTGTACACAGATCAAGAGGCAGTTGTTCAGACAGAACAAGGGGATACTGCGTGGTTTAAAGTCAGGAAAGGTGTGCATCAGGGTTGCATCCTTTCACCATACCTATTCAATCTGTATGCTGAGCAGTTAATCCGAGAAGCTGGACTGTATGAAGAAGAATGGGGCATCAGGATTCGAGGAAGACTCATTAACAAACTGCAATATGCAGATGACACAACCTTGCTTGCCGAAAGTGAAGAGGACTTGAAGCACTTATTGGTGAAGATCAAAGACCACAGCGTTCAGTATGGATTACACCTCAACATAAAGAAAACAAAGATCCTCACAACTGGACCAATAAGCAGCATCATAATAAATGGAGAAAAGATTGAAGTTGTCAAGGATTTCATTTTACTTGGATCCACAGCCAACAGCCACAGAAGCAGCAGTCAGGAAGTCAAGACGCAGTGCATTGGGCAGATTGCTGCAAAAGACCTCTTTAAAGTGTTGAAAAGCAAAGATGTCATCTTGAAGACTAAGGTACGCCTGACCCAAGCCATGGTGTTTTCAGTCACATCATATGCATGCGAAAGCTGGACAGTGAATAAGGAAGACTGAAGAAGAATTGATTCCTTTGAATTGTGGTTTTGGCGAAGAATATGAGTATACCATGGACCACCAAAAGAACGAACAAATCTGTCTTGCAAGAAGTACAACCAGAGTGCTCCTTAGAAGGAAGGATGGTGAGTCTTACATACTTCGGACATGTTGTCAGGAGTGGTCAGTCCCTGGAGAAGGACATCATGTTTGGTAAAGTACAGGGTCAGCGAAAAAGAGGAAAACCCTCAATGAGATGGATTGACACAGTGGCTGCAGCAGTGGGCTCATGCATAACAATGATTGTGAGCGTGGCATAGGACCCAGGCAGTGTTTCGTTCTGTGGTGCATAGGGTCGCTATGAGTCGGAACTGACTTGACGGCACCTAACAACAACAACAACATAAAACAAATAACAGATGTAGTTCAACCATGTGTATGAGACTCACTGGGCATACCAGTCCCAAAGCAAAGACCAGAAGGCAGGAAGGGAAAGGAAAGCTGGAAGAATGGAAATGAGGAACCCAAGGTCAAGAAGGGGAGAGTGTTGACACATCGTGGCATTGGCAGCCGGTGTCACAAAACAGTATGTGTATTGTTTAATGATAAACTAATTTGCTGTGTAAACTTTCACCTAAAGCACAGTTAAAAAAAAAATCTCTTTTCCCAAATGAGATAACATCCCAGGTATATAGGAGTTAGGATTTACAACAAATATTTTGGAGGGGACACAATTCGTCCAAACATGTCTTAAAATGGAGTTCTTTGTTTCTTCCCCAAACCTGTTCCCTCCTCCCTCCCAGTCTTTCTCCCCATTTCAATAAATGACACCACTGTCCTCCCAACTGGCTCTTCCTTCAGATTACATCCAGTTACTGCATTAGTCCTGGCTGTCAACACTTTTGCCTAGAATATTTCAGTAATTTTATAAAGCATCTTTATTCTTTTACTACTGGTGTTCCTAAATCATTCTCCTACTGGCATTAAGAATGGTCTTCTTTTTTTAAAAAAAAAAAAAAAAACCGACTTTCTTAAAACAGATCATGACAATCTCTTACTCGGATGCTCTTCCTTTTGCTCACTTGATTTTACTGAAACTAATCTTTCACGTGTTTCTTTTAGATTCATACCAAGCTCTTTTCTACCTTAGCACCTTTGCAGTGCTTTTCCCTCTGCCTGGGCTTTCTTCCTCATTGTTTTGACTTGGCTGTCTCTACTCCTCTCAGTTGCAACTTAAATGTCATTTTAGAGAGACCTTCCCTAATCATGCTGTCTAAAGTAGATCCCCATGCCGTATTCTCTATCTCAGCCTTTTGTTTCTGCCATGGCACTTACCACAATGTACAATTACTTTATTTGTCCCCCAGAAGAATGTAAGACCCATGGTAGCAGGAGACCATGGCTGCCTTGTTCACCAGTGTATCTCTAGTGCATAACCTGATGCCTAGAACATAATTGTTGTTCAGTACTTACTTGTTGGATGAATGAGATACCAAATACTGTCATCTGAACTTGAGTCGTTAAACATGAACGTCATGGTAACTACTTCATAAGGGCTTTTGGACTCAGGGCTTTTTCAGATGATTAACATTCCCGGAATCTGACACCCAAATAAAATTTAAAAGCACCATTGCATTTTAGGAAAGCTGTCATATATTGTGTATTTCTTAAAGCATTTTCGTTCAGAGAACATTTGTGAAAAGCAACCATGAATTTTCTCTACTGCTAAAAGTTGTTTTAACATCAACTAATAGTGACTTCTTTGTCGTTTCTAATGTTGTGCGCAACAGGATGCTGAAAATGCCATTCAACAGATGGGTGGCCAGTGGCTTGGTGGAAGACAAATCAGAACTAACTGGGCAACTCGAAAGCCTCCAGCTCCAAAGAGTACATATGAGTGTAGGTGTATTGGAGAAGAAAAGGAAATGTGGAATTTTGGAGAAAAATACACTAGATTTTAAATGTGTTAGAGCTGTTCCCGGAGACTTATTGCAGAAATAGATGAGAAGCAAATCAAGACTACTGTTCAAAAATGTACTTAGTTTTCATTTTTGTAATTATAACAAATGTTATTCTCCGTAGTGTCAAGTCTCCTTTTAAAAATAGAGAATCTGGGTAATTTTTTAAGACATTTTTGGGGGAAGCTTAATCTTAAACTCAAATGTGATTATATAAGCAGTTTGGTCAGGGTAAATGTTATTAACATAGTAGTGTAGTTAATGCTGCTTTTGTCTTTTGGACATCTTATTTAATGAATTAAAGATGTAAAACTTTATCTCTCCCCAGCAAACACCAAACAGCTATCATATGATGAGGTTGTAAATCAGTCTAGTCCAAGCAACTGTACTGTATACTGTGGAGGTGTTACTTCTGGACTAACAGGTATGGGAGCTTTACCTGTGTGTCATCTTGAGATAATTTTTAAATTGAGAAGTTTAATATTTGTAGGATTATTATATAACTTAGTGTGAGTTTTTTTGTTTGTTTTTGTTTTTTCTAACAGAACAACTAATGCGCCAGACTTTTTCACCATTTGGACAAATAATGGAAATTCGAGTCTTTCCAGATAAAGGATATTCATTTGTTCGGTAGGGGTGATTCCCTCCTCCCTCCCCCCATATTTTTTAATATTTAGCTTAGAGGTTTTCTTAAAAATTTACTTTGGTTATAAGAAATAAGACATTTCTCTAGTACTTAACATATTTGTTGCTCTTCCTTTTTTATTTTTGCCCCCTCCTTTGAACACAAGGCCAGCAAAACCCATCCTTTAAGTTTCTCAAGAACTAGAAGATCTTTTGGGAAAAAAAATAGCAAAGAAAATGTGCCATTTTATTACTTCTTTTATGTGAGCTGCCTGTTTTTACCTCAAGTTCAGCTTGATTTTTAAAAGTAGATTTTATTCATATATCTTTTAAAGAATTTGTATTGGTAATTCTTAATATTGTTTTCAATAGGTTCAATTCCCATGAAAGTGCAGCACATGCAATTGTTTCTGTTAATGGTACTACCATCGAAAGTCATGTTGTGAAATGCTATTGGGGCAAAGAAACTCTTGATATGATAAATCCTGTGCAACAGGTAAGAGGGTTCTTGAATTTGGGAAGTAATTGCTGGGCTGATAATAAGGGTTATTTTTAAATGAAAGTTGTTGATAATCCTTGTTAATGAGTTTCTAGCTAAAATTATAGCATATAAGGGCTCTTCCTACATGTATTATAGTTCCAGAGTGGTGTTTCATGGATTGCAGTGGTGACATGATGAATGTGACTGCCTCATTTGACTCATGCTCACACAGTGGATTTTAAAATGCTCCAACAAACCTAACAGGGTATTAAACCTTTTTTTTAATATTTGATAGATTTATTCACATACTATTTGGAGAACTTTGAACAAGCATGTTTTACTCAACTGAAACAAAAATATAACTAAAAATATATTCAGAGCCTTAGCATTTTCTTTTAGATTTCGCTGCTTTTGTTTTTCCAGGCAGCTTTAGTGGTTCAAACCTATTCCCACAAAAATTTCTATGAGGAAGTTGTAAATGGAGCACGGAGGTGGGAGTAAGAAAATCCTAAGTATACAGGCTTTTCACTTAAATAAATTGAATATAAGAATAAGTACTCTTTCTGTCTTTCCTGTCTAAAGGAAACATTATACTGAGTTTAATATTATTACTAGGACATTACCTGCTGCCTTACAAAGGGTATGTGTTCAGAGCATCATGTAGAGTTATAACAGTATAACCTCACTTTTTTTTTTCTTAGCAGTCACTTAGTAAACTTGTTTATCCTGTCATTTTAATTGTAATGATGACTCTGTTATCTTATGGCTAAATATCTGTAGACTGTTAGGACTATTTCTATACAAATAACTTCAAATAATACTGACTAATCTGTTACAATTTTATTTAAAAGCAGAATCAAATTGGCTATCCACAAGCTTATGGCCAGTGGGGCCAGTGGTATGGAAATGCGCAACAAATTGGACAGTACATGCCTAATGGTTGGCAAGTACCTGCATATGGAATGTACGGCCAGGCATGGAACCAGCAGGGATTTAAGTAAGCACGTTTGCTCATTTCCTTTATTGACCTTAGAAAATGTCAGGAGCTTAGAACAAAAGCTTGAGTAATTAGTAAGTAGGTAGTGTGGCCCTCCGTCTAAAGCATACTTTTATTTAGCCTTTGAAGGAACTTCATTTTGTAATGGTTTTTAATTTACAGTTTTAAATGTTTCTCTTTAAAATTTTGCCTGAAAATACGTTGTCTTGAGGTAAAACCAGCATCATAAGAATTTTGGTGATGTTTGGTAATGAATCAACTAATTTTTTAGTAAGTAAAAACAGTTGTTAAGTGTTGTACATGACAGATGGTCACTTAGTAAGCCATTCTTGGATGCAGTTATTTTGATGCCAGTTTTATTCAATACGCTTTTTCTGTGCAAAAGCACTGATTCATACATTGTTTTATGGCAAGCTTCCTTATATACCCTGAATTAAGCAGTTTTACTTAAGTATCTGAAAAACTAGAAATAAAAGTACTTTGCAGTTATAAAAGAACTTTTTATTTGTAATATTGAAAAAAATCTGTCTGCTTACATATGCTAACAATTGTTTCAATTTCTTCTTTGAGTAATATAAATGCTAGTCTTACTATATCAACATATGTCCAACCCAGATGAGCAGTTTTCCTTTCTGAGATGGTAGGTAGTTTTCTGAGTTCAAAGGGGATAAATGTTTATAGATTAAGAGTATTAGCTGTAAATCCTAACAAAATTAAACTGCAAATTAAACATATGGGGATGCTTGTTTTTTAGGGGAAAAATCTTTTCCCTTTGTTTTCTGTGGCATAGCAATTGTTCTTATTTTTGGGTTTAAGAAAAAGTATGTTTCTCATTTCCCATGTGTTTGTTGTACTTATTTTTGGCAGTGCACTTTATTTTAATCAGTGGATTTCCCCTTCCCTCTGCTTCTTTCACATTCTCTACCAGTCAGACGCAGTCTACTGCACCGTGGATGGGTCCAAATTACGGAGTGCAGCCACCTCAAGGGCAGAATGGCAGCATGTTGCCTAACCAGCCTGCAGGGTATCGAGTGGCAGGGTATGAAACCCAATGAGAGAGGACTCCAGAATCTAAAGCCAGTGGCTTGAGGCTACAGGGAGTGTAGTAAAGCCGTTGTTTACTTAAAAGATTTATCAAATCAGTCAGTGCAAATGTCAGATACAATGTATTTATTTAAAAGATTCATTTTTTAATCATGAAATTACTTATCATCCACATTGTTTAAAAAGAAACAAGATGCTGGATGTCTGCCAATTTTTGCCTTCATTACCTTTTTTGATAAAGTTTCTCAGATCCTTGTTTCAAATACAAATGCAGGGATTGCTGCCACTTTTTTAAAATTAAGAGGCAGAAAATTGCACAATGTTGAACTTTTTTCCACTAAAGTAGTGCGCAGTTCTAGTTTGCATTCCTAATATCATTTAAAGCATGTAATATAAAGATGTAAAAAAAGAAAAACCAAAACTGTGCAGAGTCTAGAAGTTCTTTGTTATCTTCAGCTTGTGCACAATTCTGTTTTAGGTTTAAAAGAAAAAAAAAAAAGCATTGTTTGAGCTGTCTCATCTCTACTTTTATCCCTTTGGGGTTTTTAAATATAAATTATTAGTTTACATCATTTTTGTATCTACAGTTTTTCACAAATTTGTCTTGCCTTATTAAAGTTCTGTAAATTATACTTAAATGGGAAAAAATGATGTTCACTTAAATTTAAAACTTTTCTCAGATGGATTGATAATTGCATTCATTTTTTGTTTTCTATGAGAAGGTGCCTCAAGAATTCCCTGTTGGATTTGTTGAAAAGGATTTTTATCTTCTGTGATAAACTTTGCTGTGTACCAGGAAATATAAAAACAAAACCTTGTTACTAAAGAAAATCTCTGAAATGTGATAAGTTCTTATGAACCCATGTTAATTTCATGTGTCAACTTCTACATTTATGTGTATTATTTCATTATGTAAAATGTTTTAGCAATTTAATATTTTGCACAATTAGCGAACTTTGTATGTAATTTCCTTCTTAAAGGTATCATGCAGAGTTGACATGAGATTTATAAGGTTTTAAGTTGTTTGCATGTGAATATCAAATACACACTTTGGTAGTCTTTGAATACACAGTCATCTGCTTTTGTTTTTCAAGAATTTTGAGACATAAAATTGTATGTAAAGGAATATATTAATTTGCCATTTTCTAGTTAGATTTACTCAAAAAGAGTAAATCAACTTTAGTATGTACAGATGATAGCTGTGAAACTGTAGAATATCCTTATGTCAGGCTTGGGGTTTGTTGTGAACTCTATTATTAGCCTAAAGGACCAGCCAGGCAAAGCATTTTTAAAATGTTCAGAGGCCAAAAAACACTTAAAATCCTACCTCCTTAAAGAGCCTTCAAAGAGGAGAATCCTCAGTGCAATCATTATTTTTATTCTTTCGGTACCTGTTTTCCTGGAGTTCCCAATTTTATCATTTTGAGGTAGCTCCGAGCATTAAGAGGTTTAATCTTTGATGGCATTGTTCTAGTTTTGACATTTCTTGTACATTTCAGAGTCTTTTAGAAGAGGTGTGGGAGATTTTGTTTTGTTTTCAGCGAAGGTCACAAACCTTCCTTGACTCATAAAGGGCGAAGACTCCTCAGTATACATATTTGGATTGTTTTTTTTTTTTGTTGTTATTGTTTTAACACCTTCAGAGAACACCCAGCATTTTATTTAGGAACAGAAAAGGCCTGTGAAATCTTAAAGAGTTTCGTGGCCTGTTGTATCTTCCAGGTAGGAGCAAATGACTCTAAACTGGTCTCTAGAAGCCAATCCACTTCTAAACCAGAGCCCAGGAAAGACAGCTTATAAGTTTATAATTCTCTGGAGCTCAGTTCTATGCAGTTGTGCTGATGTTTCATTTAGTCACTGTGTATTTTTAAGTGTTGGTACATTAAAAGTTGCTTTATGGAAGATGAATGAATTTTTTAAATACTGGAAATTTTATTTCCTTGTTAACTTTTACAGATCAGGGTGTGCAACCAAAAGCAGCTTAAGTGAAATACTCTAAAAAAAAAAAAAAAAAAATCAGGAAGCTATTTTTAGATTCTTCTGGCTTATGTTTCTATTTTAGGACCCTCATTGCTTTCTCTTATTCAAAAATATTTTTATTTCCTTAACACCTTCTGGACTGCAGGATAAATTATTTGGGCATAAATAATTTAAGCAGAAGTATAATTTTTCTTTTATTTTGACTGTCTCAAGTAAGAACAGTTTTTATTAGCCAGTATATTTTCATATCACACAAATCTTAAAATGTACATTAACTGCTTTTTTTTTTTTTTTACATTAACTACTTTTTGAGAAGAAAGTGGTGTCATTATTCATGATGAAAAGGTTACTACTGAACAAATTCACATTTCAGGAACATTGTTAACTTCTATTTAAATCCTACTCTTGATGTTAAAACACATCATTTAAGGATTTTTTCAATCAAAAATCATACTGGCGTTAGTATCAGGTAAGGAAATTAAAATTTTTAAAATTGTTTCATTCTCTGCAATATGCGTTCAGATTTTACTTTAAAATACATCTGGTACTGTAAAGAACCTGAAGTCATTCACACTTAATGAGTCATTAATCCAGTATTCTTTACCCTGTTTGGATATTAAAGTTCCTTTATGTTTTCTATAGCCTTTGGGATCTTCTTGCAGTGATTATTGTGTGTGAGAATTTTCTTTTTTCTTTTTGGTCTAGCCATATTATATTAACTCAGCCAGGAGCCATGGTTTGCATTGGATTACTGTTTAATTCCATAAAGAACTGGCATTTTGCAGATATAACTAATTATGAAACAAAGGTCTCATTTTCGCTCTTGGTATTATCTCAACTGTTAAAAATGAGATTCACATTCTAGTTTTATTCTTTTGTCGCTTTGCTCATCTTTTTATGTGTTTGTTTCCTTTGAGAAGGCAGTTGATAAGAGCTAGATTGCATTTATAAAGGAAGTTAGGTTTTATCAACTGCGTAAAATGCTCTTGAGGCTACAGTTGAATTGGAAAAATAAAATGTGTTTATAGGAAATACAAAACCAAACCCTCTCAATGAGAGAGTGATAATTTCTAAAAACAACATTTATTTGTTGGGGCTTGTTGCATTTTATTTCAATCACTGTGTTTTGACTATTGTGTTTAGAACTTGAAGAACATACATACCTCCAAAACAATGATTTTTAATTTAATAGCCTTAGTAAATGTATGAGAATAAGTTTCAGTTGAGCAGGATATTCTCCCTTCATTTGGAAGACCTTAACTCATCTGGATATATAGTGAGGGGTAGCCACACTTGAAATCTGCGGGTATTAACAGAAGTATGTCTTGAATGACATTAAGTTATTAGACATTTCTATTTTATTCAAGCAGTTATCTGAAGTACTGGCTTCAGAGATATTTTTTGCCAAGATTGACCAGTAATTACCCTATAGCAAGCATGTCTAAAGTTGGAGGCTGAAGTTAGAATAACTAAGAAAGGAAAAAAGACTTCTGACTAAGGGTCACTCGGCCACTAGGTGACATGAGTCCCTGTATATAAATGGGAATTAAGCAGAACTTTGCATATGGGATAAATAAGATTCCTGGGTCCTTATCTTTAACCAGCTCTAGCATACCAACAGCCAGTCTTATATCTACCAGGCAGGAATGGTGGAGGATCCTTCCTTGGAAAACTAAACCACTCCCAAGAGAAGAAACAGATACATTTGTGGGTCCCCACCCAAAAAGCCAACTGGCCAACAATCCCCCTATAGTGAAGTACACCAGTAAGTAAGTAAGTCCTGCCCATATACACAACTCTTCCAAATAGGTTTTTAGTGCTTCACTTCAAATAGGGACAGCCATAGGTCATTAGAATTTTGTGAAAAACTTTGATCATGAAAGGTAGATCTAAACAAAAGCAACTGTCAGGAAGTAGAAAATATCCAATAACTATGTAATACCCTCAGATAAAAGAAAGTACTGCTTCAAGAATATATAGCAGGATACTAGTAAAATATAAGAAACTTAAAATATAAATAAATAAAGTGATGAGTAAAAGACAAGGAAATGCTCTAGAACAGAAATCAAAAAGGGCGGTGGGGAGGAGTTCCAGCAAAATGGCGCTCTAGGCAGAAGCACCATGCCGTCCCTCCACAGCAAAGATCCGAAAAACTAAGCTGAACAGAGAATACAACAATCCTGAAACGTTAAAACATCAAATGAAGAGATGAACTCTGCCAAGCACCAAATGGAGTGAGAAAACTGACAGAATGGAGAGTGAGGAGACATTCATGCAGAGGTCCCCTACCAGCTAACACAGCGTGGATCCGCCATCTTGGACTCCTATCGGAGACCAGCAAACGGGGTAGGAGAAAGCAGCCTCACGGAGCATCCAACGGGAGACAGAACAACCAGTAATTTGTGATATATGCTTTCTCACCCCCACCCTTCTTTCACCCCGACTCTGCTGCCTCTGCTTCCCATGGCCACAATCTCTTGACCGGGAAACACTGGCTGCTTGGATTCCACACACCTGAATGGGCCGGCTCTCTGAGTGCCAATTGTTGGCTGCTGGTGTTGCTTTTTTCCACTTCTTTTGATTTCTTCCTTACCTCTCACCACCTCCCCCTCCTTTCACTCAAATACCTGGCTCCGTGCGCCATCTTTGCTTCTTCCTGAGGTGCTGCAGAGCTCCGGTAATTTGTGATATACGCTTTCCCACTCCCTACCCTTCTTCACCCACACTCGGCCCCCTCTGCTTTCTGCAGACACAGTCTCTTGTACGAGAAACACAGACCACAATAGCTGGCTCTCTGAGTGCCATCCATTGGCTGTTAGTGTTGCTTTTTTTTCTGCTTCTTTTGATTTATTCCTTACTTCTCACCACCTCCCCCTCCTTTCGCTCAAATACCTGGCTCCGTGCACCATCTTTGCTTCTTCCT